TTTTTTCAAGCAGTCAAAAAAAAAGAGGAAACGTACTAAAAACAAAAAGAAAACTTTAAAAAATTATACCATTATTGTGAGGTATAGGTAATTTCCGTACGAATTTTGTTGCGGTAAGTATTACTGGCCGTTCAGGGTCGTCGCTTAAATCGCCCGTGCTCTGCTGATAAGGTAAAGAGCCAAAACGATGTAAGTCCTTTAAAAAAAACCCATAATACTTCGCGGAAAAAATTAAATCAGCCAATTTATATCGTACGGCTAAGATTTTCTGAACAACATATACATTTACCTAACCAGCCAAAAAAAGAATGGAAGACTGGAAAAATAAAGGCCAGTCAAACGGCAATAAAAACTCTACAAAAAACTCAAAGCTTATTGATTTAAGAACAAATTGAAATATTTTGAATGAAATAACCAGTACCTTTTCTGCCCCTCTGACACTCTCATACGGCAAATACTCACCACGAACTTTCAAAGGAAATGTGCGACCTTCAGCAATTTGCGGTCTCCGACTGTCCTCCGGTAAGTCATAGACAGTCCCAGTAAATCGAGAACGTTTGGTGAGAGACGCATCTCGTTCTTTATCACTAGAAGCTAAAAAAACCCGGACAGTGCAGAGCTCAAGCGTGTTGTCAAATAAAATTTGAAACAAAAAACAGACTTTTATTTGTAAAAAACTTTTTGAGAAGAATGCTAGGGGAAAAATCAGTTCAAGGAGAACAATAAGAACGTTACATCCAAAAAAAAAACTTGAGAATTATTCATAAATATTATCAAAAGCATAGAAAGTAGCAAATCAACTACTGACTGGACATTCGATCATATTCTTCACAAGTTCGCAAAATATTGCTACTCGTAGTGTTACCCACAGTAGTGCTTGGTATTGCAGGTAAAAGCTGAAATCCGCTAGGTAATACGTTAAAAAACAGACTAATTTATCATGTAATGGAGAATAAAGCCAGTGAAGGAAGAACAAAACTCACAAACGGAGGGGGTGGAGGAGGTTCAATAACCTCCCGGTAATTAGCTAAATCAGCCCCACAACTTGTTTCTGCTACCGCAGAACTAAAAGTTCCCGATGACACGCCCGGATTTGTTAAAAAAATGCGAGTTTTTTGAAGCCCTGGGTCTAAAAAAATTGTTTGATTTGTTGGGAAGATAAATCACAGTTAAATCCACTTCCAAGTTCACAATAAAAAAAACCATACTGAAAAAACCAACAAAATCCTTCACCAAAACTGTTTAAAATAAATATTAAAAGTAGATATAAGGTTTAAAAAAGCCAATACTTTCTCAAAATAAGCCGAATAAATTGAAGGTTCACAAAAAATGATAAAAAAAAATTTTCCACGGTCATTTTGAAGTTGACATCTCAAGATTAAAACTTATTAATGCTCATTCGCTACAATAAGAATTCTTTCACTGAAAAATCAAGTTTATGCTCAAGCTCGTTTGAATCCAGAAAGACCAAGAAATTACTTTATTCAGTATAAATGACACCGAATTCCAAAGTTGCCTTCCATTTATTCTAAAACGCTTCCAATTAATTGAACCTTTCTAAAAAAGTTTTTTAATCAAACTAGGCCGAAAGGGTTTTGCTATATTGCTTTCTAAGAAACGCTTTGTAATTTCCTGTTTTTCTTCTTTAAAATATTCTTTTTTCCATTTATTAAGTTCAGAAATCCGCTATACAATCTGTATGTGCTTCTACATCCAGCGGATCAATCAACTCTAGATTTTAGTCGTTTTTTCAGTTGTGCTATTTTTTCCTACATAATTAAAAAAAAAATACAGTGGCAAGAGGTTCAGATATTGAACAGTGATTTTTTTAAAGAATCTCCTAAAAGGAAACCACAAAAAAAAGGCAATGAAACATTTCCGAAGCGAAATTTTGCATAAGAGACATTTTTGCTGAAAGTAATTTTTCAAAAACTTCTCGCCTTCAGCCCCGTTTTTTTCAAATACCAGAGGGAATCAAATCAGAAATGAAGTACAGGGAGCAAAACTCAAATATTAAACAATTGGTCATATATTTTGTAATTCAACATACTGAAGGGAAGAGGCAAAATAGATCTGTAAGAACCTGCTAAACGAAGAAATATCACAAAAACGTAAAAGAACTTTTTGTGAGTCGTCCCAAAAAACTAGCCCGACGAAGGCTAGTTGTAAAGAAGAATCCCTTCGACTACACTACTTATAACGATGTTATACTTCAGAACCAAAAAACAAATTTTTTATAGAACAAAATATCCCCCCAAGCCTACGGCGCTTGGATGAAATCAAGTATAAACTTTATGACCTTGCTGAAAAAAAATGTTGCAGAAGTAAACAATATAAAGTTTTGTAATAAAATGCTCAGTTCAAAATACGCAGTCCTGTAGCAAAAATACCAAAGCTTTCCTAGTTTCAAAGTTAGTTCTCCTGACAACACTGAAAATAAACTTCCATACTGATCCCATAGAAAGACTAACCGTCGTATGTTGTGCCAAAAACCAATGGTGGGGGAGGTGGAGGTGGTTGTGACCATAAATTATTGCTCATTCCTCCAGTCACTGATTCAGTACCTGAAGTGTTGTTCCTTATTCATCAGCATCTACAACCAGTTTGAAAAACGAGTGCTTACACAAATTAAACTCAACTGTGCTTTTAACATTTCTTTGACCTTTCTCCAATTTAAAGATACATCAAAGCACAAAAAAAATTCAGTGAATCTGCGGAAGCTCTATTAAGTTACAATTTCAGTACAAATTACCACTTCTTTAAAACGCTAAAAATTCCTGAATTTTTTAGTTAATCAGCACTTCAACAAAAATAAAAAAAAGCTTTATTCAAT